TGTGTGTGTGTGTGTGTGGTTTGAGGATTGAATTAAATAGTGCTCTACCATTGAGCTATATCCCTAACCCTTTTATCTTTTTTGAGACAGGATCTTGCTAAAATGCCCAAGCTGGCCTTGAACTTGTGATCCTCCTGCCTCAGCTTCCTGAGTCACTGGGGGTACAGGTGTGCACCACCCTGTGGGCTTCAAACCACTTTTTTTTCTTTTTTTAAAAAAATATTTATTTATTTTATTTTTAGTTGTAGTCGGACACAATATTGTTATTTTATTTATTTATTTTTATGTGGTGCTGAGGATCGAACCCAGGGCCTCCCATGTGCTAGGCAAGTACTCTGCCACTGAGCCACAATCCCAGCCCCCACTTATTTTTCATTACATATTTTATTTGGAGATGTTTACACAAGTACAGGGAAGCTAAAGTTTTGAGACAGTGGATGTTATTACATAATCGTCAGTTTATTACAAAAGAGACGTGGAAATTCTTTACATGATGAAAGATTTCAGAACTTCAGTGGAATGGACAGCTTCACAGGATGCCATTTCAACAGTGATTTGTTTCAGTCTCCATGCTTTCCAAGAACGTCACCATGTCTAAATAAGAAATGATCCTTTCATCTAGAACACTGTGGTGCCTCCATACTCTGGGAGAAGACCTTCATCTCCAACCTTCACGCTAAGTGGCTGAATCTCCCACCCTTTCCTTTAGAGCCTGACCCACAGCTACTACCGTTGCTTGCAATACTTTTCCTTGAGATTTTTCTGGAAGCATAATGCCTCCTTTGGTTACAGTTTCGGCTGTACTTTCAACCAATACTCGGTTAAAAAGTGGAAGAAACTTTCTAAATGCTTGTCCGGCTATGACTCCCGCTGCTGAAGTTTGGACCCTGCTCTCGTGCTGCTGCGTCCAAGAGACCCCTCAAAGCACTTCTGATATGCCCTACAGGTAGTTTACAGAGGAGTGATGACCTCCTACACTTCCTGTGCATCCACGATGCCACCAATTGGCACCTCAAAGCTATGGCTTAGGCCGTGGCACAAGTGGCTGGCCGGCAGAGGGAGCAGTGTCAAATACTTTTGTTGCCACCCACCATGGAAGAGGTAGCTGAGGACCACTCCTGGCTAACACATTTGTCACACTCTTCAGAAAGGCATAAAGAAAGATGGGAAATAACTGGCCATCTTTCGTATTCTGCCATGTGTCAAGATGCAAACTTGGCTCACTCTTCACATGTCTCTGAGTTTATGGAAAAGAGCCCATCGGGAACAGGAAGTGTGTTGATAATGGCACCAGCTGGGACTGTCCTGGGCAAAAGAGACACACAGTCACTCTATCCAGGCTCATCCTCAGACCTCTCCTCTAACTATACTGTTCCTTTGTTGATCTCAGCCAATCCTGAGAGTTGAAATCCTGGGGTCTTCCGAACTGATGTCTCCAGCCCAGCCTTTGCCCTTGAGCTCTGGATCACACATCTAACCATCGCTTTGGCGTCCACTGGCTGTCACCTCACTCAACCCCAAACAGGACTGTGCTTTTCCTGCCAAGGCCTCCGCAGCATTCCACAGTTCAATGAGTGGTGACTTCATCCTCCCAGATAATCTGGACAAAAACCTTGGAGGGTTTGATTCCTTCCTCTTATCCCGCACACCCTGCTTCATGGGGAAATGCACCCAGAATCCCACAATTCTCACCATCCACACAGCCAGCAGGTTCAGGTCACCATCTTTCCCTGCCCAAATTATCTGTCTCCCTGCTTCTGCCCTTGATCCCCTAAAACATGCTTCAACATGGCGGCCGGGGTGATGCCTGTAAAGCTGGTAGGTCCTGGCATCACTTCACACAACCTTCCTGGAGCAGCCCCACTGGCTCAGATTCAAAAGCTGGTCCCGACAGTGACCTACCAGGCCCTGCGTGATCTGGCCGCCCTGCAAACTCTCTGCCCTCATTTCCTACTGCTGTGCTCCCCACTCATCCTGTTCTTTACAGAACTTACTAGGGGCACATTTCCGTCCCAGAGCCTTTACTGTCACAGCATGGGTTCAGTCTGAAAGCTCCCACTTGCCCCAGCACCTCCTCCAGGCCTATTCTCAGTGAGACCCTCCATTAAATTAGCAATACTCCCCCTCTACCCCCATCTCCCCCCAACTCCCTGTGGCCTCTTCATATTTTACCTCTCCATAATCATGTATATCACTATTATATATATCACTTATACATATGTGCACATATATATTCATTCTTATTTTTACTGAAATATAATATGCATACAGGAAAATGCACTTATTATGAGAGGACAGCTTGATGAATTTCCACAAATCGAACACACCCATGGACCCAGCATCAAGGTCAAGAGGCATGTTATCAACCTCCTAGAGGACCTGTCACGCACTCATCCCAACACTTCTGCCCCCTCACCTCTGCCCCATTGGGTGATACACTTTACTACTGTGGATGGATATGCAGGTAGTTTGCTATTACAGGTCTTTTGGTAAACAGATGGGTCTTCCTGTTGGGACTCATGATATTTTTAGCTTGTTTCTAAAAAGAAGCTGTAGTGTGAGCAGTATGAAGCAGACATTTTTCTTTTCTGTTTTGTTCATACCTGTGTTCCCAGTGCTTAACATAATATTTGGCACATAGTAGGTATTCAATAATA